AAAAAAAAAAAAAACCCTGTAACACTGTAAGCTGAAGAGAAACAAGAGTGCACAGTATGTGAAACAAAATTTCCTCTTTCTGAGTCTTTTTTTAGCAACCTGCTGGTTTTTACATAGCATGTTTGGCTGAACTACCACACTTTGAAATGTTACTACTTGGGATTTCCAGAGTGCAGTTTCTCACATGGCTGTACTTTTGCTCAGTACAGGTTGTTTGGTAGAAGCCTTTCCGAGCAGGGTGAGCCCTCTGCCCTCTCGCCCTTTTTCCAGGGGCTTTCAGGAGACCCCCGCGCACACGGAGGGATGGTGCTGCAAGGGGGGAAAGGGGCGGGAGCTGCCCAGCACCCTCAGGCCATGTCCACGCTCCGGCCCGCGCCGTGGCTCCCGTGCGGCTGCGCGAGATGCGAGGCGAGGAAGACAGTATTACAGAAAAGTCAGTAGACGGTGGGGACGGGGAAATGCAGGCACTGGGCTGCCGTGGGGAAATGCTGAGGCTCCTGGACCTGCGCGCACGTGCACCAGGCTGCAAACAGGATAGCTGGGCTGGGGCTGCACTATGCTGTCCTACCCTTGGGTGTCTTAAGGATCGGCGATGCAAGGAAGGGCAAATCTGCCCACCCCGTTCATCCAGATAACCCAGCTGGAAGAAAAGGAGCAAGAGTTAGCCTTCCTGACTAGGTGAGAGGAGCTGCCAGGCAGGAATTCAGAAGAAAGACAGGCCTGTAAAAGGCTGCCCTTGAAAGGAAGAGATGGGTGATGCTGGTTTAGGACCTTGTCCTTGCAAGCACTCATGTACATACTCGTCACCTATCTGTAGCCCAGCCCGAACATTACTGACATAAATAGTTCCAGTTAAGCACATATATATTTGCAGGATGAGGACATCTGTACTGAGGGTGAGGCAGGGCACTGCATTTGTGCAAAGTCATGTGAGGTCCTTGTTGTTTAGAGCAATCTCAGTCAATTGAGACATTCTGGGTGGAAAGGCAATGATTACCCCGAGGCAAAGCCCGCACAGCTCCTTACCGGCCATCGTCGCCTGCCAGCCAGAGTGCCCACGTCCCAGAGGACAGTGGTAGTGGGCTATCGAGACAGCAGGGAAATTAAGATGAAGCCAAGGGTGAATTCCCAGTTCTCTGGGAATAACTGAATATATCTAGCTACATGTGTCTTAGTGCTCCTAGTGTTGGCGTAGCTGAGCAACTTACCCATGCAGTTGTTTCGCCCGGGGTTCAGAGGCCCCTTCCCTCCATGGCTGCAAGGGAGGGATGCAGGTGCCCTCGGCTGGTGCGTCAGCAGGTTGAGGCAAGCAGGTAAAGACCTCTGGGTGGGAAGCACTGATGCCTCGTGCTGTGTGCTTGCCTTCGCAGCGAAGGGGAATGCCTCTTCAGGGTGCCCCAGCATCGACTACGGAAAATCGTAACGAAAGACAACGTCTCTCCGTCAGCTATAAATGCCAAACCTCACTAAGCAGATCCGAACGCTTCCCCAGCTAAAACCAGTCTCCTCCATTTGTCAGGTAGATCACATCATAACCTCCTCTGCCTGTGTTTACCTCCTCCTAGCCTGGGTACACCTATACTCAGCATATCCTTAAGACCAGTAAGGCTATTTCAGACCACTCGGGAGGAGGAGAAGGGAGGAACTTGCTTTGACCAGCCACAGTTTGCAGGAACTATTTCACGGGTTAACAAGTGGCCTCTTGCAGATTGTGTGCTGGTTTTGAAAGTCTCCACCAGGAAATAACAGTGACAAAGAGACCCTCGCAAGTGGCAAAGGAGTCACAGACCTTGCCAAACTCTCATCACATCCACAAGCCCCTCTCAGTTACTCGTGCCCACAAACTTCCACCAAACGAGAAACCGAAGCACTTGGTCAAAGTCACCCACTAGTGGCTGATAAAACCTAACACGTAGGTATTCACCAACTAGTTTTCCTGCATGACTAACTGATTACTCACATTTCGGGAATTAATCGTACAGCTTTTTACATCTGAGGCTGGTCTGAGAATTAATAGAAGAACTGGAAACTGTTTGGACAGAAGGCTAATTGACTACGTCTTATTAATCATCACTCCTGAAGTTTAATGGGATCATTTCTGGAGCCATTTTCTTCTACTGGTTATGTTAGGTGGTGGCTCCTAGAATGTGAACACAAAAAACTTCTCGATCTTACTGGACTGGTTACTCAATGGTATGACTTGAGAAACTATACAAACAAATGCACAAAAGCTGCCCTTCAGAATGGTTTCCTTTTGTAGATTTTACATTTTCACAGAAAGCTACTTCAAAGTTTTGGTGGAATGGCACTGAAAAGTATATCAAGCAACTTCATTAATAACCGTTCATGATGTAATGAAGCACAGGAAAAAATGTCACAGATAACAGCAGGATATAAGCCTTTAATTTTGCCTTTAAAAATGTACCGTCTGTGCTTTGGTTGGTACCTAAAACTTTTGCTCCCTTAGAACTGTAGGCTAATACTTAATGTTGAAGCAAAAGATAAACAGAAACTTTGGGCAGAGATCTGAATTTCCTCTGTACTTATCTGATCTATTTTTTGTTTGTTTGTTTCTGACAACTTTATCCCAGATTCAGATAATATCAGCTGCTTCTTAGGCAAGCGATTTTTGAAGCCCACCTGCAGTGAATTTAGTTTACAGGCAAGCAATATCTGGCAGTTGCAATGACCGCAGTTCACATCAACAAGATGGCTAAGGAAAAGTCTTAGGAAAAGCAGTTGTGAGAAACTCCAATTTAATATAATGCATATAGTTTTGTGGTAAAAAGGGTTGAATAAATGGGCCATTTGTCTCTATTGTCATGTATATTCATACCCTACTTCTAAAAGTTAAATTAAAAATTTAACCACCTTCAAAAGGCACACCACTTTGCTATCAGTAGCTGTTAAGTGTTGACATCTTTTAGAAGTGGTGGACACGGAGACACCAATCGTGCCTACATCTCAAATGAGAGGTTGTTAAGTAACCATTAAAATTACTGCCAGGACTTCAAATATGCTCAACATTCACGGAACCGAAATAGCACTTTTTCTCCAAAGACCAAATTTGGTGAAAGGCCACCATTTTGTGACTTGCCTTTCAGAACTGTAGTACTAATTCATGGCAAAAGTTAATTTCTCAGATTAATATTACTCATTTACAAAAAGACTTCTTTCTGCAATGTAGTCATAGCCCCAGATCTCAGAGATTTGTTACGAATATCTATTCTAATTATGTATTCCTCTTAGTTCATCTGGTTGAAAAGTAGCGCTCCCTCTTTTCGGCAAGACACGCTAAAGCTAATCACCAGTTCCTTATGTGGGAGCTTTGCAATGAAAAGGGTCTTCAGATCTCGCAATTCTTGGTTGGTTATAGCTGTGGCGATTGTGGGCACCTTCTGAAAGACTTTTCTGGAAAGAACAGGTATAATTCGATTTTCTGGCTCACTTCTTTTGTGACAGACCAGCAGAAACCACCTTAATTTCTTCTTTAAGTTGAGGGGAATAAGAGAAAAATGGTAATATGGCAAGTTTGAGTCAGTATGAATTACCTGTTGAGGGCAGTTGAATGTGATCAGGACTGGGAAACCAATAGCCAGCCCTGAGGCAAACCACAAAGCTAGAGCTCAAACCAAGAAATGAAGGTGGCTGAGTGTGGCACAGAGCTAGTCCTAGGGTGCAGGGTCAGGCGGACTCCCGGACACACAGGGCAGCAAGGTAGCTGATGTTGCCATCGTGAAGGTGACAGTAGGCCTTGCTTTACTATTTTAAGCAGGGGGAATCTAAAGTACGGTGTTTCGGCTGATGATTAGTAAGGCTATTGTGTATTGAAAGGCAGCAAATCTTTGCATAGCTCTTAGGACAGGAAGACTCTCAGATGGGCTGATGTTCTATCAGGCTGCATTGGTGGGAGCACAATTTTTCCACTCACGAGGACAGCATCCTAACAGCGTTGTAAGCGTGATGTACGCAAGCGCAGCACTCACAGCAGCACGTCTGTAGGGCTGGCTGCACAGCTCAGCAATGGGAGCAACCAAAACAGAAAGTGGAAGCAAAAGGGACCTCCAGATGGAAAAGCCAGAGTCGGGCATCCACAGCTTGAAAGAATTGCTGCAGAAAACCAATAGAAAGTAAACAGGAGCAGGGATGAGTTCTGAGGGTGCAGCATGCACAGCTGGTCTGTAACAGCAGTTAAACACATTTTCTCTTTCTGTTTTATTCCTCTGTAGCTTTGCACCTACCCTCGTGGGCAAGGCACGGGCCTTCCCTTAGATGGGTGAAGAAATGACCACCACAAAGAGCACTAATAAAAGGCTTCTGCTAAAGAAACAGCCCTTCCTCTCCTGCCAGTTTTCACGTATGTTTTGCTTTTTAAGACCCATGTCTCCATGCAGCATTATAATTACAGTTTTCTGTTTTTCAGCTGCAGGCTTGCATCTGCTGTCAAACTCACGCATTGAGAAAAGTGGCTGAAATGCCTCCCGAAAGGTGACAGAAAGTGCAGCTCCAGCGGCAAGCTGTCAAGGGCTTCAGCACACGAAGATGTATCTCCGTGTGGATCGTCACTCTGTTAATGCTGCAAGCGACTATATTAAGGGCTAGTAACTTCTGAAAAAGAGTATGAGTCAAGTGCACAAGCAAGACTTTTAAGTCATTCACCACAGAACCAAGCTCCTCCCAAAACTGGACTAAATGATCCTGTAACTGAAGCCTTGCACACAGACAGTAGGGTGGAAAGAGATACAAACTTTTTTATTTAAAACACAGACAACCTCTGGACAACCTGGCCAGCAGGAAGCTGGTGAAGAACAATGTTATACTGTACCACCAACTTTGCACATTTCGATTATCACAGCAGAAGACTTCATGAAGAACAAAGTAAACCTATCCCAGAAGGCGAGGGAAGCGGAGGAAGAGGGCAAACACAATGCTAAATGTGCAGGTATTCTGCTATTCTTAAATATTCAGTCCTGCAGGGAACTGGAAGACAGCTGGGAACTCTGCGGATTGCCTCACCCGAGTCCAGATCCGAAAACCAAACATGACGAACAGTTCAACCTGTTCCAATGATACAGACCTCAAACCTTATTATGCAATTACGTACACTTTCATTCTGATCCCTGGACTAATAGGAAATATATTGGCTCTGTGGGTCTTTTACGGCTACATGAAAGAGACTAAAAGGGCTGTAATATTTATGATCAATTTAGCCATTGCTGATTTATCACAGGTTTTATCCTTGCCTCTAAGGATTTTCTACTACTTGACTGGAACATGGGAGTTTGGAGGAGGTCTCTGCATGCTTTGTTTCTACCTGAAGTATGTCAATATGTACGCAAGCATCTACTTCCTGGTTTGCATCAGCGTAAGACGATTTTTGTTTCTTATGTACCCATTCAAATTCAGCGACTGCAAACGCATCTGTGATGTGTACATCAGCATTGCTGGGTGGATCGTAGTCTGCATTGGCTGTTTGCCTTTCCCTCTTCTCAGACTTCATCAGAATGTTAAAAACACATGTTTTGTGGACCTCCCAGTAAAGGAAGTTGACCTTCCCACCTCCATTGCCATGATGACAATAGGTGAATTGGTGGGGTTCATAACGCCCCTACTAATAATTCTATATTGCTCATGGAAGACTATCTTATCATTAAAAGAGAGAAATTCTGCTTCACATGACCTTGGAGAGAAAAAAAAAGCTTTAAAGATGATTCTCACCTGTGCTCTGGTATTTCTGATTTGCTTTGCACCTTATCATATCAGCTTCCCATTAGATTTCTTTGTTAAAACCAAAAAGATTAAGAATGAATGTGTCCAGAAAGTGATATCAGTGTTTCATGCTGTAGCTTTGTGTCTTGCCAGTTTAAATTCCTGCGTAGACCCAGTCATCTACTACTTTACTACAAATGAGTTCAGAAGACGACTTTCAAGACAGGATTTGCAAGACAGTATTCAGCTACACAACCTAAGTTATGTAAAAAAGCATCCCAGAGCTGAGCCCAAGGGGCAAATCGTTGACTATTAACGCTGGACTTCCTGAAGTGTTTTTAAGGACTTCAAATATTCTCTGTCATTTGAGGTTTTGGCCCAGCTTTTTCCCCCCAGGACACTGAGAGTGACTACTCAGACAAACTTCTGCTGATTTCAGTGAGTGCTCGAGTGAAAGGAAAAAAAAATTGACCAAAAACATGATGATTTAATACTCTGGTTGCAAATTTTCTATGAATACTGAATATAAATTACACTGTGTAAGTCACACAGGCCCTAATCCTGAGCTGGCCAGCCAAGAGTTTAGTAGCTTTGCCGGTACAAAGTAGCAGAGTACAAGGATGGGGTGTAACCAGGAGGACATAGACCAAAGTTGGTTTAGCCCCACTACCCCACCGCTGACAGCAGGGGATTAGGAAAGCACTCTGAGGTCGTGCTTTGGAGGCACCAAGCCCGTGACATAAGCTGTACACCACCTTCCTGTGATGAGAAATGCTGCCCATGCCCAGCTGGCACCTGAGTGGCGGCTGCCCGGCCACCTTCTGGTCACGCAAGCTGGCTTCAGTGAGAGGCAGCAAAAATTTGGGGCTTTTGCTATGCAGAAAGAATTTGGCCCTAAAAACCAGTACTTCGCACAATACTATATTTTTCTTAAATAATTGTTACCACAAAGAAGCACGATCACTGGGTGCAGACAAATGTGAACTGTGCAGGACTGCAAGACTGTGAAATGCATAAAGCTGTTTTCATTTGGAAGTTTTCTTGGTTCTCACAAAACTGGCAAAAATTGCAATAATGCAAAGGAAGGTGTTGACTAAGGGAGGACTTCAAGAAACGTCCCCCTGGATAACATAGCAGTTACGATTTAATTTATATACAAAGCACCAAGAGGTTGCCTAGTGCAATACTAACTACGTGGCAAGGAACTTAAGGTTCTTGCCCCAAAGCACTTACAAGTTAAATAATTAGCAAGGCCTTGATTTTGGGGGTGTATTGAATGGCATGTTGCAATCTGCAGGGTCAAGCATCTGCAGACTGAGGGTCAAGCTAATTTTTCTTAGGAAAACCATAAGGAACCAGTAGACCCATAGTGACCCTTCCTAGGAAGATGCAAAGTCACTCAATTGTCCAGACCTTTTTCCTCTGCCGTCAGTTCCCGTTTGGATCACAGTAAGAAATACTAAAACACCATGAGTAAGTTCAAAGCCATTTTTGCTGACTTTGGTAAACTTTAAACACGGGTCTGTGCTTTAAGGACATTTATTCAGACTAACTGTCCATCAAGACTTTCAGGACTTTTTTGTCCAAAGCCTAGGTTAATTAATTTTATTATTTCATGATTTGAATAATTCTTTCTGTAATTATAAAAAGGGCAATTCTTGGTCAAGTTCAAGTCACTAACATCAGCATGATTAAGATGTAGTCAGAGGAATCTAAGCTTTCTGAATACTGCTGTAATGGTAACAGTTTAGATACCCAATATATGCAGAGTCAAAGGTGTCACCTAACAGGCTATGGGAGATTTTTTAGGAAGGGCTCAAATATGGACATATTTTTAAAAATAATTTCTTTAATACCAAACAACAAAAGCTTTGTGCTTAACCGGTATTTTGTTTGCACCTTCTTGTGAAATTCATTTTTATGTGAATATTTTAAATGTTAAATTTTTAAATGTGAAAATACTGTGACAATATTATGTTTTATTTAATGCAAATGCTGTTTTATAGATTTAATTTATAAAAACATTTATATTTTGTAAAAAAATGTAGATTCCAGGGAGTGCTGGAAAATAGAAAGACTTCCTTATTATTTTTCTTTTTAAGAAAATCCTCCACATAATAAAACAAAAATCCACTTCATAGATACACAAGTTTGTTCCAGTGTGTCTGTACCTGCATTTGGCTGAGCATGCACTGCTAATTCATGGAAGCACATTGAGCACTGAGTAGCACATTGTAATTTGCTCACAGCAATGAAAAAAGCTATTTATTTTCAACTTTCTACCTGCATTCCCAGTTGTATATAATAAAAATTACCTTTTTTTAAATTTTAAATGTAATGTTTGCCCTACTCTCACCTCTAACTGCCTACATCACTCATTCATGGCTACACTCTGCTTCCTATCGAGGCAAAACCTGCCATGTTCCTTGTTCAAAACGCAGCTCCTACTGTGGTCACAAATGTCTATAAGGCTCTCATACCTAGGCCTCAGCAATAGCCCTACTACATCTTGAAATTAATGCTAGCACACATGAATTAAGTCAACGAATTATGCCATCTCTAATCATCCATCGCAGCACAGTGGCATCAGAGCAATGGAACCACATTCAGATAGATCACTGGAGGCTGTATTCAGAGCGTGCCAAAGACTACAAAAATAACGTTCAGGTGGTCCTTCTCACTAGGCTTAAAGAGCACCCTAACTCATGGGAAGATCGGTGCATCTGGTCACATTCTCTGGGCAAGCCGAGGATTGATTTGGAACAGACTAGGGAAAATTGGTGGGTTTGTTCCATAAATGAGAACTGTGTGTAATGAGTTTCACTATGAATTTTTAGAGTTTAGCCAGAAGTAAAGTAAGACTACAGGATGCAAGTCCACAACAACTAAAATGAAAAGAAAGAATTATATGTTAACCAAAAGGTAAGGAATTTCAGTGAGGGCTATCACCAAGGGCTTACAAGAGTTGGATGTTTCCAAGGAACTTCAGGTTCCTCTATTTTTAATGAGGGATTTTTCTCCCAGCTCTATGAAATGCAAACACTGGCAGACACATTAAAACATGATCTCAACAAAATTTCCCATCCGCTCAGGAAAATAAAGGAATTGAGGATGGACCTAGATACTCCTAGACAGATGATTAGGAGTCACTGAAGATCTCCACGTTCACTCCATCCCAGCAGCACTCATCTCCTGGACACTATGTTGTACAGCCTGATGCTGGCGTAACAAAAAGGTGGGGATGTGCTTTGTGACTCTTTGTGGAGAAAATCAAAACGCTCTTTTGCAAAGGGATAAAAAACATGGCTGTAAAACTCACTGACAAGCCTCTCGTCTAACTTCTATGCACTACAACACGTTTATGAAAAGCGCGTGAATTGCTAGACAGATATATAACTAGTTCATGATCAGTGCTTGTGGGTGGCCTTTATATAGCTTTAAGTCACCTTTATAATAGGATATAGTCACACAAATACATATACCCCTTTACCATTTCAGCATTCATACTTTAAGAGAAGGCTGAATTTTAAGCTTTTTCTCCATTTTATGAACACACACAACTTTTTAAACCAGCCCAGACAGAGTACATTGCTTTAGATACATCAGATTGTGATTCTGCCAGTTTAACTTACTGTAGTCTGTCACCCCAACCTGCTGCAAAATCAAAAACAGCAGTTAAAGCTCAATTCCTCCAGCAGAAACTGTGTATAACTGTGTATAACGGAGGTTTGCCAGCACTGAGATCACACCAGAATCAAGGCAGCCACACAAAGCATCTGTTACATAGGCACAACCCGTGTGTTGAGATAGTGTCTGCTGAGATAGCGACAGATGTGTTTGTAGAGATACAGAGCAAGCAACCTACTTAGCACTGAAACGGAGGCAGGGAGTCACGGGTGTGCTCTCGCTCAGGCAAAACAAGATTTGGCCAGATCAGTAGAGTTTGTCAAATTGGGATCTGCACAACACAATAAGTTAGAAAAGCAAGACAACTGTCAATAAGTATGTACTAATTGTAAGAAAGAAAAAAAGGAGACAGAAAAAAGGAAAAAAAGAAAAAGAAAAAAAAAAAGAAATCCTAAAAACCGTAGAAAAAGTAAAAGTACCTCCATGTACCAAAACTACCCGGTCTGAGTGCTTAGCACATACTTCTAGCCTGGCAGCGGGCAGCACCTCTTCAGCTCCATCAGCACTAACGCTGGGCAGGTTTGGGGGAGCATGGCACGAAGCGGACCGTTCCGGTCATCCCAACAGCTTTCAGTCACAGCCCTCCAGAGAAAATTGCCCCCCCAGCAGCTATTACAGAATAAACTACAGCAGTTTTACCGGCACGCTGAACAATTTTTCTGATTCGGGATATGAGGGTGCAAAGTATGTTTTTGTATAGCAAGCTGCCTGCTGCAAAAGGGACTCCCAAACACTGCTTTCAGATGTCCCCTGCATGGACCTGCTTGGTGGCAGAGCAGGGGCAGACACCGATATGGGCTGGCAGAACGTTTTACCAAAAACGCAGGTAAAACCTGCCAGGGCCAGAGAGGAGAGGGAGGACAGGTCCCTGGCCGCTCCCCACGGGCTCCCGCCCATCACACTCTCCTCTCCGTGACCTCTTTCTCCCTGTCCCTCGCTGCCCCGGTGGGAGGGAAGGAAGGCAGAGAGCCTGACACAACCCAGCCAGAGCTACTTTTAGCTTCGGGAGCGGAGAGACACCTTACACAAAGCGGCATCAGAAGTTCAGAAATAGTTAGATGAGAAAAGCTCATCTGCATAAGTTTTCCCACCTAGAAAATATTGTGGGTGCAACAACAGCAACTTCCCCTGCTGCCATAGCGATGTGGTTTATTCATATTAGTATTAACGGTCTCTTTTTACAGGAAGTCTAGCGTAATAGTCTCAGTATCTCACATGAGCCGATTTCAGGGGAGAAGCCTGCTCTCCCTGCCCCCTGCCGCAGCAGCTCGGCGATCCCGGCGGGATCTGCCTCGGCTGCACGCTCCAGAGCAAAGACTCCCCAGCCCTGCTCCTTGGAGCATTCTCCCCAGGGGACATGGCCAGGTCCTGCAGATGCCTCCTGGAGGATGCAGGTGGCCCCCCTGCTGCCCCACACCACAGCGTCCACCCCATCGGAGTAGGGAAGAGTGAGAATGAGGTTCTACTGTCACCTAAATGAAGTGAAAGACTGGCCTACAGCAGGGCTGCCCTGCCACCTCTCCCCTGGCAGGGGTAACACGAAGAAACGGGCCTGGGCTCCCGGCAGCTGCGTGCACAGAAAGCCCAAGGCTCTACAGGGCAGCAAAACGTTGCTTATGTTGCCCTAAACTCTCCTTCAAACCATTCCTTTCACATAGACCTGGGCATATTCTTGTCACTGTGCCAAAGAGAAAACACATGTTATACAGCAAGGAAGCGACAAGGCAGCTGCTGTCACCCGCAGCCTTTGCAGTACACGCTAAGTTAGAGCCCAGACACGTGTATCATAGTCCACCTAACCCTTAGATCATCTGCCTGACAAATAATCTTGGTTGAGATTATCACAGACGTTTGGAGAGCGAAGAGACTATTTCACTTATATTAGCGGCAGGCGTACTTTCACGTGCCGCTGATGGCTCTGGATAGCTTGGTACCAGCAGCCTGCACGTAGGCTTCAAAGCAATCACAGACAAGCAGAGAGAGGAGCTTTGCTGCGTTTCTGCAGCTACCGCCATCCCACACAGCCCTGAGAGCTTTGGTTGGGGAAGCCCACAGG